TGTACATCAATCAAAACGAAAGACTTCTCACTGTACTTCAAAGTACAATGTACATCAATCAAAACGAAAAACTTTTCACTTTATTTCAAAGTACAATGTACATCAGTCAAAACGAAAGACTTCTCACTGTACTCAAAGTACAATGTACATCAATCAAAACGAAAGACTTCTCACTGTACTTCAAAGTACAATGTACATCAGTCAAAACGAAAGACTTCTCACTGTACTTCAAAGTACAATGTACATCAGTCAAAACAAAAGACTTCTCACTGTACTCAAAGTACAATGTACATCAATCAAAACGAAAGACTTTTCACTGTATTTCAAAGTACAATGTACATCAATCAAAATGAAAGACTTCTCACTGTACTTCAAAGTACAATGTACATAAGTCAGAAAGAAATACTTCTGACTAGGTAGAATCACAGTTCAGAACAGCACAGTGCAGTTTGCAGGTTTTTCTGGTGTAGCTATCCAAGACTTTCTCACAAGATTGCAACAAAGTCCAATTCCTCTGGAGCAGCACCAAATTCTCCAGTTGTAGCTCAGTCATGATGACAAGTAGCAGTCACACTTGAATGTATATTTAATGTAACATTTAATTTCATGCAATGTTTTTTGATATAAAACATACTTCAAAAATGGGGATAAGACATCTTCTCAGCTGCCCCTTCCTCTTCAGCTCATGGACTGAATCCACCAGTGTTAACATATTAGCTTGATAAGCTATGGTATTGAACAAAAGGCCTGGTTAGCACTTGATATGGCAGATATATATAGTGTAGTTGACATTGTGCTATACATTATTCTTTACTATCACTCACAAGTACTTAGAACTCATCATTTTAGCTGGTTTGCATTGTTAATTGTACTAATAAAACATGCAGGAATGTTTTTAATATTTTTATGGTTTATACATGGAACTTTTATAATTGATAAGTGATAAACAACACACTCTAAGTATGTTTATGCATACTATAAAATAAATACATTATATCTACTGGGTCTGTTTGTTTTTTATCACAGCAATTTTTTTTTCTCCCAGCAGGCATTTTTAATTGAACACGATCAAGAAGAATTATTTCATGTAGATGCCATACAGGCTAAAGAAGTTATCAACACTAAGCTAGTGCCTTTCGAGTTTGCTGAAGCTCTGTCTTTGCCACAGGATTCTATTTTTGTCACACAGATGTTTTCTTTTGTTGATAAACAGAACAGTGGATGTATCTCACTCAGAGAATTTCTTGATATGATTGTGATTTTTGCTAAAGGTAATTAAAGGTGACTTATAGTGTACGAAAACATCAGATTCTAAAAAAACTGAAATAAAATACCCACACTCTGCTGCAGGATTCTAAGGTCCCCTCATGATTCACAGAGGCCTCAATGTACCAGTCAAATATCTCCATTATCTTAATGCACCAATTTTTTAATTGATTTCTCTGTTGCCATTTCCAAACTTAATTCAACTCTTTTTAAAAGCAAGTAGTTATAACTTAGCTTCTCAGATTAGTTTTTTTTTTCTATGTTGTTATTTGAAATCTATTCATTCTCCAATATTCTCTGATTCTTTTTTTTTCCTGTTGTTTGTTGCCATTTCCCAAACTTAGTTCAATTAAACTTTTTTAATTCTCAGATTTGTATTTTTCTTCTCATGTTTGTGTTTGAATTGTTTCATGCAACAGTATTCTTCAACTGTTTTGTTTGATGCCATTTCCCTAACTTATAAATTATTAAAGCCTTATTTTTTTTTACATTTTTATTAATGTTTTAACTGTTATTGCACAATTATCAATATTTTTACACATTTTTTGCAGCCTTTTCCCAAATGCAAGTTAATTCAAGGTTTTGAATGCAATAATATAAATTATAACTTTTACGTTCTATTTTTTCTTATTTTCTCTTTTCCACCAATACAGATGGAAAATAATTTCAACTTTATTTTCTAGTTTCTTGGCCCAGCAGACCCTGAGGCTAGCACCATTCCTGATGCCATTTCCTGAATCTAAAAAATATAATACAAAATTACATATTAAAATTTTGTAAAATAGATTTTATTTTCCAAGTATTCATGTACAATCCAAGACCAAGGATTGTATGAATATGAGGAAAATAAAAAAATTTCAACTCTGTTTTCTTTTCATGCACCAATATTCTTTAACTGTTTTGTTTGGTGTCATTTCCCAATTTTTATTTATTTAAACCTTTTCTAGTATTCTGAGGATCTGTTACATGGAATCTGGGAGGTTCTGATGTTTTTATTTCCCTCCATGTTGCCTTTGACTGCTAAGAAATGTTTGGCTACATACCCTATTTAATTCTATTAATTTTTGGTGAAATATGTCCATTTTCCCCAATTTTTGACCATTTTTTTCTTTTTTCAACAGTATTATTCTTCATATTAACATATTATTCATTCAGTAAATGAGAATTATAAAAAAATATGATACTTTTCTATAGACCTTCAGGAAGCAGAATTATGGAGCTTAAGAGCTATAGGGCAAAAAATTGTCCACATTTTTTTTGAGTTAAATCTAAAAAAAATAATACTCGGGTGCACACCCTCAGGATCCTTTTAGCATTCGTTCAAAGTTTCAGGTCTCTAGGTTTTTCCTCTTGAGGCTGTGATGGTCACACACACACAGACAGGCTATTTTATTGTTATAGATGTAATATAACATTATAAAGATTTTTCATTCTAACTACTAAGACTACTAATTAAGGCTGCACAGTTATGTTAATTGATTGTAAGATTCTGTTAACAGGAGCTGTTGATGAAAAAAGTCAACTTTTGTTTGACACATATGACATAGATAATTCTGGGAATTTGATGAGAGAAGACTTTACTGCACTGATAAAGTAAGTTGTTTTCTTAAAATAATGAAAAACGACATAAGAAGAGAAGTAGTTTTACATTTGTATGATAAAAATAACATCTATCGGTTCAGTCCATGAGGATTTTTTTTTTAAATGTTTGTTTTTTATTATTATATAGCCATAATTTCAAGTAGTTACAGAGTCATGATAACAAATTGAAGTTTTGTGCTAAAGTTGTTTCAATTATAAACTTTTTTTTTTTCTTGTTTTATTTGCAGATCTTTGCTCTTCCTAACAAATGAATCTCTTACCGCTGACCAAGTGGGAAAGATGATTGGTCCCATGTTAAGAGGCGCAGGACTCCACGACAAGAAATTCTTCACTTTAAGTGACCTAAGACAACTTATAAAAGACCATGCAGAAGAATTAGGCTATTTCTTGCTGAACTTTGATGGTTAAAATGTTTTTTTTTTAATTTATCTGTTAGATACTACCATACTTCAAGTCTAGTGCTAAGTATATCATTCAAAGTATCTTATATGTTTAAAGTATTTGTTTATTTGAAGTTAAGCACAAAGCTATACAATGGGCTATCTGTGCTCTGCCCACTATGGACATCGAAACCTGGGTTCCAAGCATTGTAAGTTTGCAGACATACTACTGTGCCACTGGGAGCATCTTATATGTGACTTAATCTATAGTTAAGAATTATTTATCATATACGTTTGTCTCTCTCCCTTAAGAGAAACACAAGAATTTGGATCCTAATCTGATTCCACTATGTGAAAGACAAACAGTTACATTTTGGCACATTCTTTTAACTATTTTGATCACAATCTGAGAGTTGCAGGTTTGAATCTCTGTCACCGAACATACTCGCCCTTTCAGCCATGGGAGTGTTATAATGTGACAGTCTATCCCACTATTCATTAGTGAAAGAGTAGCCCAAGAGTTGGTGGTGGGTGGTGTTGACTAGCTGCATTCCCTTTAATCTATCACTGCTAAATTAAGGATGGCTAGCACAGCCCTCATGTAACTTTGTACGAACTTCAAACCAAACTCTTTCAATACAGTACATTGCAGCAAAGTGATAAGACACAGAAAATGTAATTTTTATATTTCTTGCATTGTTTTAGGATTTTATACAATGATATATTACTATTTTTTCAACACTAGCTACTGTTTTTAACTTATCTGTGCATAAGTGCACCAATTAAACTATCTTTATTATATCTTTTTTTTCCCAGTCAACCTTTTGATCAAGATTTTGGATATATTACAGTTGGAAAAAGTAAGCCGGAGAAATTATCACCAAGCTTCAATCAAAGTGCACTTGCACGAGCTCAGGATACAATAATTAGAGCATACTGGTTAGTTGTTAACTTTTTATATTTTATTAAAATTTCATGAAACATTTGGAAAGTAAAACTTTTTAATATTTATTTTTTACATTAATTAATACAAACAAGAATAGTTGTGTATGATCCTAATTCTTAAAAATTGTTTCATAAATGTCACATGAGGTTAGTTATCTCACTTAAAATATTCCACAAGCCATGAAACTACAGTTTAATATGTTTAAAGAAATTCATATGAAATTAAAAGCATTTGAAGCATATTAATTCGCAGCCATGTGTTGTGCATTATATTTATATATGTTTTAAATTCTAAACAGTTGCAGAATCGAGGGAATTAGAACTATCGTTTCATCCCAATGCGCCCCTCAGTGGCACAGCGGTATGTCTGCAGATTTGCAAAGCTAGAAACCGGGTTTCGATACTCATGGTGGGCAGAGCACAGATAGCCCATTGTGTAGCTTTGTGTTTAACTACAAACAAATAATCATCCCAATGCCCATTCTATTAATTTCGAATATAACATACAATAAAATAGCATACTACACCAATGCAATCTTTAGATGATAAGTTAGTCAAAAAATGTATTTTAAAATTGTATTTCGTTTTTTCCTTCTTTGCATAGGTTCAACTTTTAATACTTTAAAACTTCAACAGGCAGAATCAGGCACATAACTTGTTTTGTAACATAAGTAGCAATGACCTTATTAATTGTAATTTCGTATAATTAACAAAAATAAAACAGCTCTATTTTTTTTGCACTGTAACGTGCAAGCATTTCTTGCATTGTTTTCATCATTATTGTTATGACAGCAGAAGTCACGTGACGCTAGTAACACGTCATGAAATTCTAGAAGGATTATGTCTGTTCTTGGCAACTCTAGTCTTTTCTATGCACCCTCTATTTTTGTATATATAAACTGGCAAGAAATGATGGCATAGATAATTGCAGACAGGCAAAGATAGAGACGGACAATTGAGTCAAGCGCGGTTGTGACCATAAGTGCATGAATCATTGTGAATTATAGTGTGTGTTTAAGTTAAAGTGACTGTGGAAATTAAGTGTATTGCAAAGTTGTATTGAGAAAGAATAAACTAGTTTTATTTAAGAAAGGACTTGTGTCGCTAAAGTTTCATCCGAAAGAAATTATACGGGAAATTAACAAACGACCATTATATAAAAACATGATAATTAATTTTATGATTTTAATATGTTCAAACCCCAAAGCTATAATACTGTAATACCTTAGTACTTGGAGAATAATGTTATTGTAGCAAATATCTGAAATCTGTCATAAAGTTTTTTATATCTGTCCCAACTGTCAAACATTGCCATTACTAATAAAGTAAAAAGTTACATTTTAGGTGTAAAATCTCATTCTTCATCAGTATAAATCTGAGACTTTCAAATTGATAAATTACAGGTCATCATATTTACAAATGCAAGAGTAATTGATTGAAGTTTTGTATACTTTATAGTTGTTCTAACGTTTTCTATTGGGAAGTCTGAGTCTGTTTTGTTCATTAATTATTGTACTTTAAACTTTGTTTTGCATGTGTAGTGATGAAAATGAGGTGAAAGAAAACCAGACTTTAGCCAATCAAGCTTTTCCATCACAAGCTTCCCAAGTGAAAGTTGCAACAGGCACTTCGAGTTACAAGAAGAAAGGCTTATGTTTGTTACTGATACTTCTTCGACATTTTCTGGAGTTGTACAGACTGCAAGTCTTTTGGGTTGTTTTTTATACATTGGTGTTAATTGGACTTTTTCATCACAGCTTCTACAGTAAGTTGTTATTTACTGAAATTGAACATAGTAAGTAAGTAAAATATAGTGCCTTAAAGACTCTCATAATACATAAAGCCCCAAAACTCGCACACTTTCATTCATCCAGGGTTAAAAGAAACGGTCTATCTTTAGAAAGTATTCTGACTATCAATTTACTTGTTGTGTGATCTACCTACTTCTTTTTCTTACCTAAGTATCATTAAAATCTATAATATTTGCCATGGATTTAGTTTGTTTTATCTAACTGTAAATATACAAAAGCATTTTACATTTATAAACAAAAATATTAAACCTTGGAATGTTGCATTGTTCGTACATTTTGCCATATAGGATTTTATAATTAATAAAAGACATATCTAGTGAAGTAAAATTTTAAATGTGTAAACTAAATTTATGCTACAATAACATATAAAATATGCGTAAATAAACTGAGTATAGAATGCTTTATACTTCATATATTAAAATGAAATATGCAGATCCTTTTTTTTATTAATTTTTAACTATGTCAAAGCTTGATGCTATCTTTTAAGATAGTTTGTCCTATAGAACATTTATCACTTGCTCTTTCCATATATATCCTTATAATTTTCTTGTATTACAATGTCATAATACTTTTAAAGTTGGGAAAGTAGTATTTCTGCTATTGTCCTAAAAAAGAACTTAAGAAATCTCTGTTATTTTGTGTAGATAATAACGATAAAGAACAAATGGCTTTGATGCATTTATTCAGAAGTAGTAAAAGCATTCGGTATAATCATAATGAATTACATGCCACCAAAACAATATCTGATAATTACAATTAATTGAACATTGTTAAATTATGATTAATATAATATCCAGTAAAAGGTTGTATTTTGCTCAAAAGCTAACATTTTTTGCTGATAGAAATGAATAAAACCCTATAACCCGAGCTCTTTTGAAAGGTGGACCTTTCTTCTTCAGGAGCAAAATCATTTCCAGTTTGCCCCTGAAGAAGAAAGGTCCACCTTTCAAAAGTGCTGGAGTTATAGTGTTTTTATTAATTTCTATCAAGATTTCTAACATCATGAGTTTACTTTGATGATACCAGATGAAGTGCAGTATGATGTTCAAATGGATTAATGCACAGAGATACATAGTAACTAGACCTGTTGAAAATACTATCATTTTTATTCATGTATAAGAAAAAAATATTACTGTGATATTATGACATTGATAAAAAAGTATACATAGTTTTTCTCCAGTAGGCTAATATTTTTTTTTCTTTTTCAGCTTATATCGTACAAACAGACTACCAAAACTTTGGAAAGATAGCTAGTTATGGCTTAGCCATTAGTCAAGGGGCTAAAACCCCTATGATGTTGTCCTTTTCCCTGGTAATACTGACCATGTGCCATTATGTAGTTATAAAATGTAGGAGTACCTTTTTAGATCACATATTTCCATTTGGTAGTATAGCTTCATCCTACTCTTATGCTGCCTTTTGTTCTTTCATTTTCTCTGGTAAGTGTGCATTCATTAAATTGTTTATTAGTGAAGTTATTAAAGAATTGTATAATCTTTAAAACTAATAGGTAGGTGTAATTTGTGAAATAAGAAGTTGTGCTTGGGTTACCAGGTGGTATAGACATAGAGCTACCAAGTGGTACATTTTAATAAGTGGTACTTATTGTTACCAATATATATTTTTACAAGTGGTAATTTCTTATACGAAGAGATATTATTACCAAGTGATACATTTTTATATGAAAAGACATATTGTTGCCAAGTGATATTTTTTATATAGAGAGTTGTTGTTGCCAACTGCTATGTTTTATTTAGTGAAGTATGCTGTTAACAAATGGTATATTTTGACTCTTATACGAAGAGATATTATTACCAAGTGATACATTTGTATATGAAAAGACATATTGTTTCCAAGTGATATGTTTTATTTAGTGAAGTATGCTGTTAACAAATGGTATATTTTGACTATGAGTATTAACTTTGTTTATAAAGAAAATTTTCTACAAAGTAATAAATCTTATATGAATAAAGCTTTTACAGAAAATATTGCCTTTTTGTGGTCTCCCATCCCATTGGGACAGTGGCAAGTTTACCAACTTATAACATTAAAATCCAGGGTTCAATTCTCTGCAGTGAACACAGCAGATAGCCCTATGTGGCTTTGCTCTAAAACAACCAACCAGGCCTGTAAAATAATAACTGATTGAAAACATTTTATTAACAATATGCATGATACAAATGCAATATTAATTTGTACATATGTATGTAGTTTTTAGTAAATATATGGAAACATTTCTTTATTATTAGACATGTCTTTCAGGTGTATAATGGTTTTTTTTGTAAACTTACTATCCCTGCATAGCTAGAACTTCTTTGTTACCAAGGTTTTTTTAGATATCAGAAAAACTTTTAAACTTTGAAAAATCAAAAACTAACATGAAAAGTAGATACAAAATGTCAAACTGAAGATGTTTATTTTACATTTACAAATATCTGTACTTTAAAATAATTCTGATTATTTGATTTAAAATTGGCAAATAAAAATATTTCTAAATTCATTATATTTCTGAAAATATCTGAATAGGGAAATTCTCATTATTTTTGACAACAATTTAGGATGTAGCTATTGTTATTTCTGAAAATATTTAATTTAAGGTCAAATCATTTCTGAAAGTGTCTGATTCGTAATAGCCAGTTTTATTTCTGAAAAATCAGAGTAGCTTATTTTAGAATCCTTTATTTGTGTGTGTGTGTGTATTTCTTTTATAATATATGAAAGTGGATGAAATGTTTTTTATGCCCATATTTGTATTCTCATGTTGTGAAAATGTTTGAAAGTAACTTAACTGTTATAATCTTTCATAAGGTTTTAACTGTATACTGATTTATTTTTATGGAGTTTTAAACAAAATAGTTTTTAGTGAGATATAATATTTCTCCATGAAAAATTATATTGTCAACTGTTAATTTTTTAAACATTTATTTTGTTAATTCTCATATGATAAACATTTTTATCAATTATATATTTCTCCTCAGTTATTCACGTGATTGGACACATGATCTTTTTGTACTGTATGTCAAGTCAGCCTGCAGTTAACTTGTCACGCTTATTTCCAAGTTTCTATCCCATGTGAGTATCACATTTAAGAAAAACATATCTTTATTCAATTACTTCCAAAAACTTTTCCTCTGTTTGCAAAATATTGAGTGTATTAGTTAAAACTTATTTTCATTTAGTAGTTTTAAAATGCTTATGTAGCTTAATAACAAAGAATGTAAAGGTTTCCTCCAAAATTAAACTTGAAATATATAGCTATTAATTAATTTTGAATAAATTCCTATGGTGTTTACTTATTGTTATTATAATTTTTTTTTAATCTCTCTCTTTATTTTATATACCATTTCAACTGCACTTTTTGTTACACATCCAATATCAGAACAGATCAGATTAGCTGGGTAATATCATAAAAACTACCTATCTAAATGTCATGCTTTAGTATAATTGCTGTTATAAGGGTTATGTACCATAAGAATAACTTAAACGACTGATATAAACAGGGTTTTAACACTTTATGTGCTGTTACGTAAACTTACCCAACTTGATGAAACTTGGTATTTAGTGAAAGGCCTTATTGGCAACAGCATGCAACATGTAACAAAATGTGCAATGGAAATGCCATTATATTATTTTTACTGAAATTCCCTACAGAGCTAATAAAGAGAGTGATGTGATAAAAATTATGATCATTATCAGCACAGCCATTATATACCTTAATAACTGACGTCTTAAGTAACTGATATAAATAGTATTTTTACTAAGAGTTCCACAGTGGGACAGTGGTAAGTCCTTGGATTTACAATGCTAAAATTAGGAGTTTGATTCCCCTCAGTGGACACAGAAGATAGGCCAATATAGCTTTGCTATAAGAAAACACACACACATTTGTACTGAGATCTGTGTGCTATAAACCCAGCTTATAAACCTTATAAGCTCTGGTATTGAAAGTAAGATTCCTCTTCAGCAGTGGTGGGCAACAAAGTGTAATATTTTACTTACTTGTAATATGTGCAGGCTGTAAAGAATAATTTTATAAAAATTATTATATTTGTTTTGATGCATATATCACAAATACAATGTTTTAAAGAAGTTTTGAATAACTTCTTTTTTTTATTATTGCCAACTGACGTACTAACTAAGTAATGGGTAGGTTAGGCTGACTGTATTATGTGGTACAGTCGTTCATAATTTTAAAAGATAGATAGTCTCTGTTCTATTAAGATGAATACTAAAAGAACAAAAAATAGACTTGAATTTTTTCATAATGATCATGTAATAACTTCTATCAGTTGCCAGAAACATACACATTTGGTTCTCTAAAAAGTGCTGAAATTAATAAGTTATAATAGTTTCAGTACACTCATAGTTATTCTATTCTTTTTATGAAATTGTGTCTCTTGCAGAGTTTGATTACATTACCTTTATTCTCAGAAATATATTTGTTTTAAATTGGATGAAGTAATAAATGATAGTTAATTTGATTAAGTACATGCAAAGTACCTGTTTAGTAAATGCAAAATATGTTACAAATTTATATTTTGGTAAGATTTATTCTAACTATGAATTCTTTATATTCATTTCTCTAACCAGTTTTTACATAGTAGAGATGGCTGGTATGGGTATTAAAACACAAAACAAGTGAAAACTTTTTGACCTACTTAGGTCATCATCAGATTCTTAACCTGATGATGACCTAAGCAGGTTGTAAATTTTTTACTTGTATTATGTTTTAAATAGAAGTTTTTAAAACCCATATCAAATGGGTTCCTCAATAACATAAACCTGTTTTTATATTTATGTAAACATTGTTTCATTGTTAAATGCAAAGCTACACAATAGACTATCTGTGCTGTGGCAATCAAGGTTATCAAAACCTGGTTTTTAGCGTTATAAATCTTCAGATTGGAAGGGCTTATGTAAAAGCAAAGGCTTTGTTCTATAAATGCTTTTTGTTAATATTCTGATAAATTGTATTAAAATTTTATTTCATAATTTTTTCATAAAAAAGAGTATAGACTGCCACAGAGTTTTGTAATGTATTGTTCCAGTATCTGAACCATTCCGTAAATATTATCTGTTGATATTCTAGGGAAGGAAAACTTTCTGATTTTCATTACTGGCTATTCCATACTATCACAGGTATGTTGATTTGTGAAGTTGGAATGATTATAGATTTTTCCATTAATTTTACAATTGGTATTACCATATATATATATGTTGCCCTAATTATGCTTCAAGCAAATAAAATACTGAAAACTCTTATTGAAAAATTATTTCATTACTTACAGTTTTATATATTTTTAGTAGAAATGTTGGTGCTAAAACGTTTTATATCAAAAGTCTGAGAAATTGTTTAGTAAATATTGTAATACCTTACTTTTTTCAGTTGATTTCTTTCTAAAATAAATAATTAACCCACGATGACTTTGTGGCATTTGTAAAGTTAATTCAAAGAATATTTTGTATACAAAAGTATAACATGTCATTGACATGAAGTTGGGGATCTTTTCTAATTGAACTGTACTGTCTGTAATTACCATAATCAGAATTTTTACATAAATATAAATGGATTTGACTTCTATATTGCAAAACCTTTCAACATTCACACAATCTATATGTTTAGAAAAGTAGTTAAAGATCAGAATTTGCCTCCTTGTTAACTGTGTTGAATTTAAGTACAGTGCATTTAAAGAACTTAAATCATATTTAAAAAATTACAGATACACTGTCCATTCATAATTCACTTAGAAAGTCTTGCCAGCATCTCTGTAAAATAGAAGCATTGAAAAACTAATATTGTTCTATAATTTCAGTTACTCATATCTTAAAGAACTTTACTTGTGAATTAATTAAATAAACTTGCAGTTTTCATTATAAGTTAGTCTGTTAATTAAATTGTAAAGCTGAAATAAACTTATAGATAGTTTTTTTGGTTTTGGTACTTATTTGTATAAAATTAAAGCTTATATGTTGTTATTTTTTTCAGGAATTACTGGAGTGTTGTTGATACTAGTTCTTTTACCAATTTACCTGTTTACCTCCAGATTTGTATGTTATTGCCACCCTTATTTTTTCTGGGCCAGTCGCAGTTTGTACATACTTGCATACATCTTGTTAAATCTTCATGGATTGGGTAGAGTGTTTGAAAACCCAGCCTTCTACTGCTTTTTTTTGCTTCCATGCATTCTATTTATTCTGAATACATTAGTCAGTATTAGCAAGAAGATTACTGAAGTATTTGTGATTCATGCTAAACCTCTTTCTTCAGGTATGCATATAGTAATTAACAGTTTGAAATGCTAACTATTAGCCCTATATTGACAAAGCAGTATCTTCTGATACTGTTTATATCTTTATATTAAAAAAGCATGGCTTTTCGATCATTTTGTGTTTACTAAATTATTAGGTATGATATTTTTCTTTATGATAAAAATTTGTTTTCTGATATTTCATATTTTTACACCTAAAGCTACTTCTTGTGGTATAACTTAACATGCTATAATTTATATTAATTATGTTTCTTAATGTGTTATCTTTTTGATATTCACCTTAAATTTAAGTAGTTAGATATCATAAATCTAATAAAATAAAATCATCATAAAACTGTTGTATGTCAGATTGTTTGTCATTTATTTATCTTTTTATTGTCATTGATTTTTCTGACAGATGTGATGTTGCTTCTCATCAAGAAACCTCCCAACTTCAAGTTCATGAGTGGCCAGTGGGTAAGAATCAGTTGTCCAGCCATAAGCCACCATGAATATTACCATTTCGCTGTGTCATCAGCCCCACAAGAAGAAACTTTGGCCATACATATCCGAAATGAAGGACCTTGGACTGCTAATTTACTAAATAAATTCAATCATACCATCTTAAAGCATCTTGGATATCCTAAGGTAACTTTACTTTAAAACAGAAGTAATTGCTCACTTTACAATGTTTCTCATATACAAAGCAATCCCTCATTTTGTGACAGCACTCATATTCCATTTTAAACAGACCCTTATCTCAAAACCATCATTCACAATACATTAACCGTAACCTTAGTTCATTCATCCTTCATTTCTGGCTCACGTCTAAAATTAGACTTATCTTTACAATTGGCTTATATCCTAATGCAGTTACTCACTTTTTTTGTAGCTTTTACACTTATACCTGTTCTTATATCCCAAAATAGCTTCTAACCAAATCTAACAAGATATGAGTTTCATATCAACTAAAGTACTTTGCTGAGTAATTGGATAGTTTCTGTCCATTGCACAACAGCTTCACCTCATTTTTTTGTTCACCTCGCAGCTGCTACTCTAACCATATCCAAAAATAATTTGCACTGCACTAGCTCTCAAATCAAAAAGTGATGTATCACACATTTTATAACAGCCTGTGTAATGGTTCATGATACGACATGTTCCATATATTCCATCAAAAAGTGATGTTTACCTTGAGTTATGTGTTGCTTGTCAGGTAAATTATCATCTTGGTGTATTGTAACTGTAACTGTGTATTGTAATGTGAGTAATTATCTTGGAATGTGGAACTATTTATAAAGTGAATTATTTATTCTGAAACAGTGGTACTTGTTATAAAGTGCACTGTTACCTTGAGTTATGGATTACTTCTAAGGTAATTTATTACCTTGGGGTATTGTAACCATTTTAAGCTAGGTGAGCAATTATTTTGAGATATGGAATTAACTGTAAAATGAATAATTACTGTGAGATATGTGTTTGTCATAAAGTGAAATATGGAATATATGGAACATGTCGTATCATGAACCATTACACAGGCTGTTATAAAATGTGTGATACATCACTTTTTGATGGAATATATGGAACATGTATCATGAACCATTACACAGGCTGTTATAAAATGTGTGATTAGCGCACCTTATAACATGTAAGTACCACAGTTTCAGTATAATTATTCAATTTACAACAGATCCTCTATTTTAAAGTAATGGCTCACCTTACAATTTACAGTAGCTTCATAATTCCATAGTATTTGTATCTAACTAAATATTTTATTGAAGGCACCCTGTTAAAAATGTCTTCCTATTTATACAAAATGTTTTTTAATAAGCATTGGTTCAATTTGTAAGAAGTGAATTTATGCAAATATACATGCATAATAAAAATCAGCACTTTCTTGCAAAATAGTTATTCCCACTAGAATGTGGGGTATTTGTTTGTTTGTTGAATTTCACTTAAAGTTTCTCAAGCTGTCCCTAATTTAGCAGTGATAGGCTAGAGGAAACGCAGCTAGTCAACAACCCATTGCCTACTTTTGAGCTACTCTTCATCAAAGAATAATGAGATTGAATGTTACATTATAATAACACTCTGACAGCTGAATGAGCGAGTATGTTCAGTGACTGGATTCGAACTTGCGACCTGCAGATTGCAAACCAAGTGCCCAAGACACTAGGAAACCCCGAAAATATTTTCCCTGTGGGGAAAATACAGGAAATTTGAAAATTTCCTAAAAATACGAGGAATTTCACTGGCCATTGCCTAGCTTAGCAATAATGGAATCATAATAAATAGAAATAATGTACAGGGAGTATTTTACATGCTGTCTTGCAACATCAATAGCTTAATCACAACCAATCTGTTTGAAAACTAATAATAATGGGGTTCTTAATTTGAGTGGCACATCATGTGTACAGTCAGGTCAGTCCATGAACCCTAGGAGTCATTTATCGACATTCATAAAAAAGAAAACTAATATTATGTTGATTTTCTGAAAACTGACTTTACCTGCTGAACATCCAAAAAAAAAAGATGAATATAACATACATGTGCTCTTTAAATATCATACTTTGCTCATTTTTAAAGACAAAAACACAGTCAAACATGCAAAAAAAATACAGAACTATTCTCTTCTTCTGTAGTTTTTCCCGTATTTATACGGGGTCGCTATTTATTTTTTATTTTTTTTTGTTGAGCTGAAACACTTTCTCCCTTTATCACCTTACAATTTTTCACCTCTCCAAGATGGTTTCTTCTGCACAAGAGGAAGTCAATTTGACTTTCTCTGGCTCCGCTTTTGTAGGTGATATACTGGTCAGGCATCTTTTTAAAGAAAGTGTTTACTATTGCCATCTCATTTGCCAATGCAAAGTCTATGATGCTCTCACCTTCTCCGTTTCTCCCTTCTACACCCCATCCACCGTGTACCCTGGGCAGTACCCCTCTTTCTGCTCCGATGTGCCCATTCAAGTATTTCTTCGTCCAGATGTCTCCAGAACTCTTCCTTCTCATCCTCAGTACATCCCACTTGTGGAGCGTATGCGCAAACCACATTTACAACCGTACTTCCAACTCCCAACTTCACACTCATTATCCTATCGCTCCTCCTTCCCATGCTCACCAAATCCTCCCTCCACTTACTGTCCAGTACAATGCCTACACCATTCCACCCTTGGGCGTTTGCTCTGCTGTAGATGAGCTTACACCCTTCACCAATGTCCCTCGACTTGTTCCCCCTCTACCTCGTCTCCTGCACACACAACCCTCCCACCTTTCTTCTCTCCATCAGGTCTGCCAGCTTTCTACCCCTTCCTGTCATGCTTCCTACATTCAGCGTTCCAACTCTTAGATTTTGGACTAACTTCTTTGTTTGTTTGTTGTTGTTTTTTTTTTGGCTGGGTTAAGATAGAAAATAAAAAAAATACAGAACTATACTAATATTAATATAACTATATTAATAATTATATAAAACTATCATGTTACAGTAAAGAAACAAAAGAAAAAAAACAGAAGTCATGTAAAAGAATGGAAAATTTCCTTAATTAAAAAAACTAACTAGAGGAGCATTCAGTAGAGTGCATACCTCTGCCTCCCTGCATTAATAAAATTTGGCTCTCAAAAAATAAGAAAATGTGTCTGTATGTCTGTTGTTATCAATGGACACTGACCATTTTTGGCAGGACAATGAGGAATAATATTCTACATATGTCCACTTAGTTTAATCAAAATTTGATCATTTTTGACTGAGTTATAGAGCAAAAATAATGTGAAAAATTGATCCCCATGTTAAAAGATGGGGATTTTCGTGACCTTTCTATGACATTGACCTTTTACCTTGAACCTCCAAAACTATTCACTTCTAAGTTGGGTCATAGTCTAAATGTATACCAACTTTCGTCCAATTCCATTGAGTTGTTTTTGAGAAATATTTTTGACAAATACACAAACAAACATAGGAATGAAAACATAACCTACATCCACCTTTGGTGGCAGAGGTAATGAAACAAACAAGGCCAAAGATTACAAAATCTTAATTAATCTAAAAGCTGTGCAATATTTTAAAATTAGAAAAAAAGCAGTTAAAAGTCAAAGTTCTGATAAGAACAGATTTTATTTATAGTACTGGCTGATAACATTCAAAACTGATCATACTGTGGGCTTTGTTATCTGATGTGAGCTGGATTTCTACTTACTTTGATCAAAAACATTTTGTTACTTGATTTGCTTCTAAAGGGGATACATATATTGTTGCTTTCTGCACAATTTAGTTACGGGAGATGCCTGGCGTGGCTAGGACACTTGATTCACAATCTGTGAGTCACAGGTTTGAATCTCCATTACTGAACATGCTTGCCCTTCCAGCCATGATGGTAGCATTATAATGTGATGGTCAATCCCACTATTCATCAGTGATAGAGTAGCCCAAGAGTTGGTAGTGAGCAGTGTTGACTAGCTGCCTTCCCTTTAGTCTATTCTGCTAAATTAGTGATGGCTAGCACAGATAGCCCTTGAGTAGCTTTGCACAAAATTAAAAAGAAAAAACAGCTGAAAGGGTGAGCATATTTGGTGGTGGGATTCAAACCCGCAGGTTGCAAGTCTAATGCTCTAACCACCAAGCCCATATTGCAATGCATAGCTCCCTCTTTGCAAGATTGCATATGATTACACATCCTTTTCCTATTTTTGTAATGGCAATTTGTATTCATTCACCATGGAATATTTTAAAGGAAAAAATAAATTATATTGACTTGTGATCAGAACAAGCTATGTACTTGTAGCAAAATTAAAAATCAACCTGGCAATCATTACAGATAATTAAATACACCCTCCTTACGTTTCTACTTATAAAGTGCAGAATGCATTGTTTCTTTACTTGGGTACAACTATCCAATCCTTTATAAATTGCTTGCTACATTCTGAATATAGGTTTTGGCATTTAGCAAAATGCCATGGACAGTCGCATATATTTAATGCCCCAGGTATGTCCTTGACCATACCTTCCATAATCTAAGGTAGTCAGTCCTTCATCTCACATCAATTATCATAGTCCATGGAGAATAATTATTAATCCAACAATATCTTTCTATGTCAGGATAACCTTACATTTTATAACATCTTTGCACCCCCCCAAGATAATTGTTCACTTTGCAACTCCCATAACCCAACATCATTGTATTTCTTACTTCTCATTTTATATATGATTAGAGTATTTGATAATTATCGTGGTTATGTATTTAGATGACTGTGTGTTTTATAATGAAACTTTTTTTTAAAATGCAATTAATGTATAAATGCCGATCAAAGCATATTTAAAATTAGGGAAGTAGTTGTTGGTAACAAGTGTGGTTTATATAAAACCATAAATAATATACATTCTACATGAGTGATATTTTCATTTTTAACATTGAAGCTGTACTTGGATGGACCCTATGGTAAAGGTCACCGGAGTCTGTTA